TTCAAGAGTGTCCAGTTATTTCCTGGAAAAATATTTTAAACAGCTGCTTTATAGCACTTGGTAATTCCAACACCTGGATCGTCTTGACATCGGCATTTGTGGATTGTCTTTCCCCACACAAGTTGAGATTTTCCTGATTCTTCATATACTGAGTGATTTTCTGTGTATTCTGGATAGTTTAAGTATTACATAATGATGCTCTGGTCTTGCTGATACTTGTTTAGCAGACAACCTGGTTGTGTTCAGGACACAGGTTCTGACCAGCCTTCTGTGGATTGTGGTTCCACTGTCAGTTCGGTTTTTAAAGCTTTGCTGTACCCTCCAGATGTGTCCTGCGTGTGTCACCCCATGGCCAGTCAGGGTTTAGTTCTTTGAGTTCTCAAAGTGTTTGGCATTCATGCGTGTGCTGTCGGAGTGAGCCCAGAGGGTTATAAACAACTTTCTGGTGTCTATTCTAATCCGCTCTCTCTCCATGACCTCCCCTGTAGTGTCTGGTTTCCTGGGTCTCCCCTTTTCAGACCTCCAGGCAGAAAGCTGGGGCTTTAGTTACACTCTCTGCCACATACTTCTACAGCTGCACCTGCATGCAGGGCTGAGTGGTGGGAGGTCAGAGAAGAAAAACAGCAGGGTTTTCCCAGCCATCTTAGGACCACAGCTCCTCTGATCAGAGAAAAAATTTCCCCTCCTTCAAAATTTTTGTGCCTGCAGGCCCCCATTGCCACCGCAGTCACTGATGCCATTCTGACACTGGAAGGATTACCTGAGAGCTAAGGTGTGAGAGAATGGAGAAGAGAGGAGAAACAAAAGAATTTCCTTCACTCTGAGCATTGGGAGTTCACTTTCTTAGTCCTCGAACTAGAACTAGAAGGTTTGTCTTAGAACTCTGGATGTGTTCAGTCTCCACTTCTGTGTATTGGATCACCCTGAGTCCAGGCTGGGGAGTACTGGAGGGGAAGAAAAACAGGAAGCACAGTATTGCTCCATTGGTACTTTGTATTCTGGTCTTTTCCCCCAGTCTGCTTACTTTCAGGGCCCGTGCATTCTGTCCAGGTTCTGTAGCTGTGTTCAGTCAAAAAACTGGGTCAAATGTGCTTGTTCTGTCTCACCTGAAACCCACCCTCTATTTGTTTTTTCTTAATCTAATTATAGGACTTTACATTTAGCTCTTTGGTATTTCATCTTGGTGTTACTGGCTCTATTGATCCTGGTTCTGGAATTCAGCATGTTACCATGTCTTTAGGTTATTGTCATGCGCAGGTTTGATAGACGCACCTTTCTCATGGGTTAAAATGCTGAGCCAGACTGGGCCAGGGCCAGAGCCCTCCAGCATCCACTAGAGAGCTCCACTTAGGCCAACATGGACCTGTTCACTGAAACTTTTGGGTGGAGTTATTCTTCAGCTAAGAATTGGCCAGACTCACTCGTCTTTCATCTTACCCAAGAGGTGTCATAGGAAACTGAAAGGTAATTTGAGGTCATGGAGTAAGTACAGTAGACGTAGGTTCTAAGCTCAGCTCACACCCTGGCTCACCCTGACCTCAAGCGTCTCCTGAGGTTTGAGGGGTTTTGTAGCTTATAAGTGTTTTCTAGATTTAAAATTCCACTGTTTGATAACTTTGCCAAACACCTTGCTGTAATGCAGATATACCGTATTTGGGGGACAGGATGGAGGGTTGTTTCCCTCACCAGTAAATCTAAGAAGCTTTTCAGAACAAGAAACTGAGGTTAGTTTGCTCCGAGTTTGTACTTAATGAGCCTGTAATGGGTCTTTGGAATCACATATTTACTTTTTAGTAATCGGTTCTATAATTGAAAGAGACAGGTGGCAACATCACAGAGCTGAGATTTCTTAAATCCTCCATTTCTAGCTCCTTTTCAACATTAGGTGCATGTGATCATGCAATTTCCAGTCCCCTTTCTTTAGTTTGCCCAAGGCTATGAAGAATATATGCAGTCACAGAGCTGATTTTAGTGCTTTCAGATAGATTTCATCCAGACCTTCCAACCTGTTTAAAACAGTCTTGTGCCCTCTCACTGGGCCTCCCCCTGCCCTGAGCTTCAGTTCTGTCAAAGGATAAATGTTGGTGTCCACGTTGCATCAGAGCAGCACAGTGTTTTTTCAAACTGAGGGCTGTGATCCTTGACTCCTGGGTCATGAAATCAGTTTAGAAGTTGCAGATGTTTTTCCATGAAAAGAATAGACTAGAAAAGAGCAGAGTGCATCACACCCTGAATAACTATTTTGTGAAATTTCCTCTCAGTTTCTATATGGGCTGTGAGCTGGAGTCAGGCAAATCTGAAAAACTTTATGGTCCCTGGGCCCTGCTCTTAACACGTGTGAAGTTTGCATCTGTATATACTAAAAAATGAGTAGTAATGATACATGGTTGCATGTGCTTTGCACCAAATGAGCAGGATAGAGAGTGCTATAAAGATAAATTCATAAAAATGGTTTGTGTGCCTTTTACCTCGCCCTCTCAGTTTCCTTATTTTT